CTAACTCGCGCTGCTGAAGATATTAACTTGTGCACTCAACATACTGACTCGCGCTGAAGATATTAACTTGAGCCAACATACTGACTCGCGGCGCTGAAGATATTAACTTGAGCCAACATACTGACTCGCGCGCTGAAGATATTAACTTGAGCCAACATACTGACTCGTGCGCGCTGAAGATATTAACTTGAGCCGCTCAACATACTGTCTCGCGCGCTGAAGATATTAACTTGAGCCCAACATACTGACTCGCGCGCTGAAGATATTAACTTGAGCTCAACATACTGACTCGCGGCGCTGAAGATATTAACTTGAGCGCTCAACATACTGTCTCGCGGCGCTGAAGATATTAACTTGAGCTGCCAACATACTGACTCGCGGCGCTGAAGATATTAACTTGAGCGCTCAACATACTGACTCGCGCGCTGAAGATATTAACTTGAGCGCTCAACATACTTGAGTCATGCTCCGAAGATATTAACTTGAGCGCTCAACATACTGACTCGCGGCCCTGAAGATATTAACTTGAGCACTCAACATACTGACTCGCGGCGCTGAAGATATTAACTTGAGCACTCAACATACTGACTCGCATGCTGAAGATATTAACTTGAGCTGCTCAACATACTGACTCGCGGCTGAAGATATTAACTTGAGCGCTCAACATACCGTCTCGCGGCGCTGAAGATATTAACTTGAGCCAACATACTGACTCGCGCTGAAGATATTAACTTGAGCCAACATACTGTGACTCGCGCGCTGAAGATATTAACTTGAGCCAACATACTAACTCGCGCGCTGAAGATATTAACTTGAGCGCCAACATACTGACTCGCGTGCGCTGAAGATATTAACTTGAGCCAACATACTAACTCGCATGCTGAAGATATTAACTTGAGCGTGCTCAACTCAACATACTGACTCGCGGCGCTGAAGATATTAACTTGAGCAGATATTAACTTGAGCATAACAACCTGACTCGCTCAAAGATATTAACTTGAGCACTCAACATACTGACTCGCGGCGCTGAAGATATTAACTTGAGCACCAACATACTGACTCGCGCGCTGAAGATATTAACTTGAGCCTCAACATACTGACTCGTGCGCTGAAGATATTAACTTGAGCTAACAACATACTGACTCGCGCGCTGAAGATATTAACTTGAGCTCAACATACTGACTCGCGGCGCTGAAGATATTAACTTGAGCGCTCAACATACTAACTCGCGCTGCTGAAGATATTAACTTGAGCTACCAACATACTGTGACTCGCGCTGAAGATATTAACTTGAGCGCCAACATACTGACTCGCGCTGAAGATATTAACTTGAGCCTCAACATACTGACTCGCGCGCTGAAGATATTAACTTGAGCCGCTCAACATACTGACTCGCGGCGCTGAAGATATTAACTTGAGCCAACAACATACTGACTCGCGGCGCTGAAGATATTAACTTGTGAGCTGCTCAACATACTGACTCGCATACGCTGAAGATATTAACTTGAGCCGCTCAACATACTGACTCGCTGAAGATATTAACTTGAAGATATTAACTTGAGCACTCAAGATAACTAACCTGAGCACTCAATGATATTAACTTGAGCACTCAACATACTAACTCGCGCGCTGAAGATATTAACTTGTGCACTCAACATACTGACTCGCGCGCTGAAGATATTAACTTGAGCCAACATACTGACTCGCGCGCTGAAGATATTAACTTGAGCCACTCAACATACTGACTCGCGGCGCTGAAGATATTAACTTGAGCGCCAACATACTGACTCATGCGCTGAAGATATTAACTTGAGCCAACATACTGTCTCGGCGCTGAAGATATTAACTTGAGCGCAGCATACTGACTCGCGCGCTGAAGATATTAACTTGAGCTACCAACATACTGACTCGCATGCTGAAGATATTAACTTGAGCGCTCAACATACTGAGCTCATACTGCTCGGCGCTGAAGATATTAACTTGAGCTGCCTCAACATACTGACTCGCGGCGCTGAAGATATTAACTTGAGCGCTCAACATACTGACTCATGCGCTGAAGATATTAACTTGAGCCAACATACTGACTCGCGGCGCTGAAGATATTAACTTGAGCCTCAACATACTGACTCGCGCGCTGAAGATATTAACTTGAGCGCTCAACATACTGACTCGCGGCGCTGAAGATATTAACTTGAGCTACTCAACATACTGACTCATGCGCTTGAAGATATTAACTTGAGCACTCAACATACTGACTCGCGCGCTGAAGATATTAACTTGAGCGCAACATACTGACTCGTGCGCTGAAGATATTAACTTGAGCCTCAACATACTGACTCGCGCGCTGAAGATATTAACTTGAGCCAACATACTGACTCGCGGCTGAAGAAGATATTAACTTGAGCGCTGAAGATATTAACTTGAGATATTAACTTGCTCAACATACTGACTCGCGCTGAAGATATTAACTTGAGCCAACATACTGACTCGCGTGCGCTGAAGATATTAACTTGAGCACTCAACATACTGACTCGCATGCTGAAGAAGATATTAACTTGAGCCAACATACTAACTCGCGCTGAAGATATTAACTTGAGCACTCAACATACTAACTCGCGGCGCTGAAGATATTAACTTGAGCACTCAACATACTGACTCGCATGCGCTGAAGATATTAACTTGAGCGCTCAACATACTGTCTCGTGCGCTGAAGATATTAACTTGAGCATTCAACATACTGACTCGTGCGCTGAAGATATTAACTTGAGCGTCAACATACTGACTCGTGCTCTGAAGATATTAACTTGAGCACTCAACATACTAACTCTGAGCACTGAAGATATTAACTTGAGCACTCAACATACTAACTCGTGCGCTGAAGATATTAACTTGAGCACTCAACATACTGACTCGTGCGCTGAAGATATTAACTTGAGCGCTCAACATACTGACTCGTGCGCTGAAGATATTAACTTGAGCGCTCAACATACTGTCTCGTGCGCTGAAGATATTAACGTGAGCGCTCAACATACTAACTCGTGCGCTGAAGATATTAACTTGAGCGTTCAACATACTGACTCGTGCTCTGAAGATATTAACTTGAGCACTCAAGATAACTAACCTGAGCACTCAATGCATTAACTTGAGCACTCAACATACTAACTCGTGCGCTGAAGATATTAACTTGTGCACTCAACATACTGACTCGTGCGCTGAAGATATTAACTTGAGCTCTCAACATACTGACTCGTGCGCTGAAGATATTAACTTGAGCGCTCAACATACTGACTCGTGCGCTGAAGATATTAACTTGAGCGCTCAACATACTGTGACTCGTGCGCTGAAGATATTAACTTGAGCGCTCAACATACTAACTCGTGCGCTGAAGATATTAACTTGAGCGCTCAACATACTAACTCGTGCGCTGAAGATATTAACTTGAGCGCTCAACATACTAACTCGTGCGCTGAAGATATTAACTTGAGCGTTCAACATACTAACTCGTGCGCTGAAGATATTAACTTGAGCACTCAACATACTGACTCGTGCGCTGAAGATATTAACTTGAGCGCTCAACATACTGTCTCGTGCGCTGAAGATATTAACGTGAGCATTCAACATACTAACTCGTGCGCTGAAGATATAACTTTTAACATACTGACTCGTGCGCTGAAGATACATACTCAACATACTGACTCGTGCGCTGAAGATATTAACTTGAGCGCTCAACATACTGACTCGTGCGCTGAAGATATTAACTTGAGCGCTCAACATACTGACTCGTGCGCTGAAGATATTAACTTGAGCGCTCAACATACTGACTCGTGCGCTGAAGATATTAACTTGAGCGCTCAACATACTGACTCGTGCGCTCATTATATTTTTATTTGATCAGGTCTCTGAAGCACTTCCGTAGCGAAGAATGTGATGAGTAATGTCTCGTCAATGATTTTCAATGATTCGTTCTTATAATCTTCTTCACTGTTTTGCCTTTTACTCCCGAAAAAGGTGAATCTGTTGATAATCGAGGCTGGTTATTCTCTGAAGTTGACGTAAACCAACGAAGATCCGGGTTAAAACTGATCTTCAGTAACCCATGACTGTCGTAAGAGGCGACTAAAGGGGTCGGGTGGTTAGACTCGCTGACTTGGTTGATGTCAGTCGCCGGATTCTTTGGTCCCTACGCGATTATTTGCAGACCGACTTTCTGTTGCGGCAATGACGCTGAGTGTGTCGTATATGTCAAGCGGCTCTCGCTAGCAACATGGGAACGTGTTCGCTTGTCACGCTGTAGGGCCGAGTTTTATCCCAAGTGTGAAGTGCAGGTTGAGTGTCCTGCTGTGATAATGTCATAATCTTACAAGTGCCGTAAATAATCAGCTCCATATTTATCAGTTAGATTGGGGTATTCTCGGGGTTCATTCTCAGGACGACGTTGTACCTTTGATGTCGTCTGTTGTTTTTGTAAGGGATAACTGGACTGGAAGTATTAAAAAAGTGTTCTAAAAAAGCAACACAAAATACACAGTAAATCATCAATCAAATTTAACTGACAACCATGTATAAACCCAGACTATATACAACGATCAAAATCACACAAAATCAATTGAGGAGGAAAATAATAATCAAACCATAGACACATATAAATTAAGAAGACAGTACCTCTTATATCAACTAACATTAACTACAACGAGTGAGTGAGTATGATTTTACGCCGTTTTTAGCATATTCCAGCAATATCACGGCGGGGGACACCAGAAATGGGCTTCACACATTGTACCTATGTGGGCAATCGAACCCGGGTCTTCGGCGTGACGAGCGGACGCTTTAACCACTAGGCTACCTCAACGCCCGTTATCTCCAACGAACATGATTACATTAAATAAAACAACAATAAAAACAGCAAAGGCAATACATAGTAGGATGTGCCCTACTTTACATGGCGGATCAAACAACACAGTGAATTCCGTTCATGACCACGTGACATGTCCGCCCCAAAACCGAAAGTAGCTGACACGGTACTTCCGCCGTGGGAAATGGCAAGACGTGTACGTATAAATTTTCTGTTGTGTAGCGAGTGTCTGCAGACTCTCCTTTTGAAATATTTCTTGAATGATGTTACGAAAAGTCATTACCTCCAACACGTGTGTCTTTATCTTTATAGGTAATGTGATCAATTACATGACAATACGACCAAGTCAGCGACAACACATACCCGGAAGTGGCTGTTTGATGAAATAATTTGTTTCTGTGGTAAGGTAAGCACGAATGTGGGGTTGTGTATGACTTCAACAACTATTTTTTTAACGCCGCCCGCAATCTTCATTCAGTCTGTGGTAGGCTGTGCCCAATTCGATAAAAAAACGAAAAGAAAGAGACCAAATCTGCATTTTTTTGTCTGGTGAAATGTTTGATAACATGACTGAAACGGCGTGACATGGCCACGCAAAAATACATGACATATCATATTTAATATAAATAAATTAAAACTTAAGTTAAATTAAATATTAAGTTAAATATATTTATTTGTATTTAACAAAGAAAGTAATGATTTGTCACAGGCTCAGGAGTCTTAGGTACAGGAGGATGTGGGAAGTATGATAAGATGGCAGCTGGTGTGAATATAAGTATTTAGTATGCAAACATTACCACACAAAAAAGACTTCCTCATCCTTCCCAGATAATTCTTCCCCCACCCACAGCCAACCAGCCCCATCCCAAGAAAAGGTATCCCTGTCCTGCTGAAACACTTCTTGCTCCTGTCGAAGCCATCCAGCCCACCCCGAGAAATATGTCCCACATTTGCTATCTCTTTCTTCTACCCCACCCCCTTCCTCAATAATGACCCCTCCCACCTACCAGCCTGAACCCACTCTCCCTATAACTGAGTCCTATAGGGTCCTTCAATGCACTATCAGTTTACAATTTCCAGTTTGATGGATGTGGTACTGTGTAGGAGAAGCATTGAGGTGGCTGTCCGATATATTTCAGTTGAAGTCACCAGGTAATTGGGCAGCCATGAAGGTGGAGCTTGTGACAGGTAGCATCGCTGACCAGCAGGTAAGTGTATTATTCTTCACATGTACACACAATTTAACATCACTCACTCACATCACTCACCCACCCACCTACACACCCACCCACCCACTCACTAGTATCTTCCCTTAAGACCTACTTACATCTTCCCTTATAGCACAGTTGTATTTCCCTTAAGACCTACTTGCATCTTCCCTTATAGCACAGTTGTATTTCCCTTAAGACCTACTTACATCTTCCCTTATAGCACAGTTGTATTTCCCTTAAGACCTCCTTACATCTTCCCTTATAGCACAGTTGTATTTCCCTTAAGACCTCCTTACATCTTCCCTTATAGCACAGTTGTATTTCCCTTAAGACCTACTTGCATCTTCCCTTATAGCACAGTTGTATTTCCCTTAAGACCTACTTGCATCTTCCCTTAAAGCACAGTTGTATTTCCCTTAAGACCTCCTTACATCTTCCCTTATAGCACAGTTGTATTTCCCTTAAGATGTACTTACATCTTCCCTTATAGCACAGTTGTTTTTCCATTTAGACCTAGTTACATCTTCCTTTATAGCACAGTTGAATTTCCCTTAAGACTTACTTACATCTTCCCTTATAGCACAGTTGTATTTTCCTTAAGACCTACTTACATCTTCCCTTATAGCACAGTTGTATTTCCCTTAAGACTTACTTACATCTTCCATTATAGCACAGTTGTATTTCCCTTAAGACCTATAGTATGACCAGAAATTATTGAGAATTTTAGGAATATGTTTAATTGGATTTCTAGTATAAACAACCTTGACCAGCTATCAAGTGCTTGGTTTCATTCAAGAGAGACATCTCTGTTAATCCTTTTTCATTAGTTTGTGAAGAGTTATCCCCCTTTGTTTACTTGCTAGCAGACGACATTTTCAGTGATCCTCAGTATGGATGATTTAGAGAAGAGGAAGTTGATTTTAGAGTATTATAACAAGGACATCAGATCAGCTAAAGTGATTTCAAGTAGAACAGGCATCCCTTTGTCCACTGTTTATCGTGTTTTGAAAAATATTGTAAATGGATATGGCATTGAGCACCAGGGAGGCGCAGGTAGGCCCAGAAAATTGACTGTCGGTGACAGGAGGCGGCTTGGTATTCTTGTTTCTAAAAACAAACGAAGGAGTTTAGAAAACTTAAGGCTGGATATGATTGATAGAGGAACTGTGGCTGTCTGTAGGGAGACAATTAGAACTGAGCTGCATGCAATGGGTTGGCAGAAAAGTCGAGGAATTCCATCACCGATCATGAAACCTGAACAAAAGGAGCAAAGGTTGAACTGGTGCTTACAGCATAGAAATTTTAACTGGGACAATGTGATTTTCTCAGATGAAAGTTCTGTGTGGCTGTTTCCTAATACACTGAAATTCTGGACCAAACAAACTGAAAACCTTTGTATCAGCTTCAAAGTACAGTCCTGGGTTAACGTGTGGGGTGGCATATCTGTGTTAGGGGCAATGCCCTCTGTGTATTTGAAGGAATATGAACAGTGAGCGGTACACAGATATTCTCAAGGGACATTTACTTCCATCTGCTCACATGTTCTATGGACATTTTTGGATTTTCCAGCAGGACAACCACCCAAAACATCGTTCAAAGCATTCACAGGCCTGGTTTCGGACCCAAAATATGACATTATTAGATTGGCCAAGCTATAGCCCTGACCTAAATCCAATAGAAAATGTTTGGGACTTATGAAGGAAAGTGTCAATAAGAAAAATCTGACAAATATTGCTGAAATGAAAGAAGAGGAGGTCCGATATTGGGACAGCATGGACCATGACTTTTTAACTTCTTAGATCAGTAACATGCCCTGCCGCATTGAAGCCTGCATTGCTGCCCATGGTGACTTGACAAAATACTAACTGTTCACCTGTCTTTGAATCTGGAGTTATGTTCTGCTAATATTCACATTTAATATGTGAGTAATGGGTGAAATTTTATATAAATATTACAATCTTTAAATTCTCAATAATTTCTGGTTGTACTGTACTTGCATCTTTCCTTATAGCACGGTTGTATTTTCCCTTAAGACCTATAAACATCTTTCCTTTGGACACAGTTGAATCTACTTGTTAGACCTACTTGCATCTACAGACACACCCATCCTTAGCACACATTTACAATCAACTGTCAGACACAGATACATCTTCTCTTAACATTGGGGGATCCAAGGGGTGTGGTCAGGGGGTTCAGGGGATTATATCAACCCTTAACACACAGTTTCATGTACCATTAAAGGTGAGAAATGTGTAGTAAGAATGCCTGCAAGTTTTAGCATTTCCTAATGTGTGTTCTCTACAGGTCGATGTCCTGGTAAACACTACAACAAAGGACCTTAACCTGTCATCAGGGCCAGTGTCGAAAGCGATCCTCAGCAGGGCGGGGCAAGACATCCAGCAGCAGTGTCAGCATAACTGCCCCCAGGGAATTGGCTTCGGGGAGATCTGTGAGACGGATGGGGGCAGTCTCACCTGCAAGCAGATCTACCACACCTGTCTGCCTAATTGGGGTGCTGATGCTGAGCAGGTAATGCTTGGGCATGGGGATATGAACCAGTACACTAATGCTTTATCTCCAAAAATATATCACTCTGAGAGAAACTAAGAACTCCATTTACGCCCCAGTGAAGATTCATAATCCTGAGGTATTGGTATTGACTTAAGCAAGTAGGGGATAAGTGTTGAAGAATTTGATTGTTGTTGAGGGTAGTGGAGGATAAGTGCTAGGAAATATTGACACAGGAGAGTTTTGGTAGATGTTTAAACTGATTAGGGATAACTGCTGGATGATACTGTTGAAGGAAATGTTGGATAAGTGCTGAAGAATCTAGGATGATGTTAAACTTGATGTTGTATAAATTGTGATGAATATTGTTTGAGTTAAAGCAGGTGTTAGATGAATGCAGAACAAGTCAGAATGAGTTATAATTTTGATAAATTATTTTCTGTGCAGGTGCTGCGGAATCTCATTAAGATGTGTCTCACAGAGGCAGATAGTTGTGACTATGCCAGTATAGCTTTCCCTGCTGTTGGAACAGGTGTGCTGAAGTACCCCCCACAGACTGTCGCCAAGGCATTCTTTGAGACAATTCTTGACTTTGTCAATAACACGTCAAATATTAGCCTGACCCTAGTCCGAGTTGTCATTCACCCCTCCAATGATACAGTGATACAGGTGAGTCAGCCCTACTCTGGAAGTAGAAGCTGGTGTGTTGAATGGCAATGAAGTGCCTTGGTGTAACTGTGTTTCATGTGGTGTGTACACACTATGGCATGAGGAAGTGGTGGTGGAAACAGTACAGCCATTCTGTCATTTTGTCCTGTGGTGGTCTTTGTCAGACCCTATCCAAGTATTGGATGTTTGGATGGGTGAGTGAGTAGATGGATGGATGGGAGGGTGGGTGGACAGATGGATGGATGAATGAATGAATGGGTGGGTGGATGGATGGAAGGATAGATGGATGGATGATGGGTAGGTTGAAGGATGGATTGATGGGTGGGTGGATGATGGAAGGATAGATGGATGGATGATGGGTAGGCTGAAGGATGGATGATAGGTGGATGGATGGATGGATGGATGGATGCATGGTTGGGTGAATGGATGGATGGATGGAAGGATGGGATGGATGGATGGATGGATGGATGGATGGATGGATGGATGGAATGGATGGATGGATGGATGGATGGAATGGATGGAATGGATGGATGGAAGGATGGAAGGATGGATGGATGGATGGATGGATGGAATGGATGGATGGAAGGATGGATGGATGGAATGGATGGATGGATGGATGGATGGATGGGGATGGATGGATGGATGGATGGATGATGAAGGATGGAAGGATGAATGGATGGATGGAATGGAATGAATGGATGGAATGGAATGGAAGGAATGGAAAGGAATGGAATGGAATGGAATGGATGGATGGAAGGAAATGGATGGATGGAATGGATGGATGGATGGAATGGATGGAATGAAGGAATGGATGGATGGATGGATGGGATGGAATGAAATGAAGGATGAATGGAAGGATGGATGGAATGGATGGATGGAATGGAAGGAATGGAATGGATGGATGGAATGGAAATGGAATGGAATGGATGGAATGGAATGGATGGAAGGAAGGAATGGATGGAATGGATGGATGGATGGAATGGAATGGATGGAATGGATGGATGGATGGAAGGATGGAATGGAATGGATGGAATGGAATGGAATGGAATGGAATGGATGGATGGAATGGAATGGATGGAATGGAATGAAATGGAATGGAAGGAAGGAATGGAATGGAAATGGAATGGATGGAAGGATGGAATGGATGGAATGGATGGAATGGAAGGAATGGAAGGGAATGGATGGATGGAATGGAATGGAATGGAAGGAAGGGACAGCGTGTGGTGGTTTCCCAAATAACAGGGGACACTGAAAAACAAACAGTAAGAGGATGTTATTTTTCTCCAATACTATTGACGTGTTTCACTGAATCAGAGACCATTTCACCGATATATAGTATGACTAGAAATTATTGAGAATTTTAGGGAATATGTTTAATTTGATTTCTAGTATAAACAACCTGACCTGTGCTATCAAGTGCTTGGTTTCATTCAAGAGAGACAACCTGTTAATCCTTTTCATTAGTTTGTGAAGAGTTATCCCCCTTTGTTTACCTTGCAAGCGCTAGAGCAACATTTTCAGTGATCCCAGTATGGATGATTTAGAGAAGAGGAAGTTGGATTTTAGAGTATTATAACAAGGACATCAGATCAGCTAAAGCGTGATTTCAAGTAGAACAGGCATCCCTTTGTCCACCGTTTATCATCGTGGTTTTGAAAAATATTGTAAAATGGATATGGCACTGGAGGCACCAGGGGAGCTTTAGTATCAGAAAAATTAACTCTTGGTGACAGGAGCGGCTTGGTATTCTTGTTTCTAAAAACAAACGTAAGGAGCCGAAACTTTAAAACAGCTGATATGATTGATAGAGGAACTGTGGCTGTCTGTAAGGAGACAATTAGAACTATTGAGCTGCATGCAATGGTTGGCAGAAAAGTCGAGGAATTCCATCACCCATCATGAAACCTGAACAAAAGGAGCAAAGGTTGAACTGGTGCTTACAGCATAGAAATTTTAACTGGGACAATGTGATTTTCTCAGATGAAAGTTCTGTGTGGCTGTTTCCTAATACACTGAAATTCTGGACCAAACAAACTGAAAACCTTTGTATCAGCTTTTCGCAAAGTACAGTCTGAAATTTAACGCGTGGAGTGGCATATCTGGGCAGGGGGCAATGCCCCTCTGTGTATTTGAAGGAATATGAACAGTGAGCGGCATGATATTCTCAAGGGACATTTACTTTCCATCTGCTCAAAAGTGTTCCTATGGAAATGTTTGGTTCACCCAGCAGGACAACGACCCAAAACATCGCTCTCAAAGCATCTGTTGTAGGCTCCGGTTTCGACCCAAAATATGACATTATTAGACTGGCCAAGCGTATGTAGACCTGACCTAAATCCTAGTTAGAAAATGTTTCATGGACTTGCGAAGGAAATCATATAAAGAAAAATCTGACAAATATTGCTGAAAATGAAAGAAGAGGAGGTCCGGATATTGGGACAGCAAGGACCGTCGACTTTCTAACTTCTTTGATCAGTAGTATGCCCCGGCCGCGCTTCATCTGGAAGTTACTTTATCATTATGGTAGCTGCAGGTTCTTTGCTAGCACATGTTTTTCCTGACGGTTAAAGTTGTATGGAGGACCTGAACCCCATATGAGTAAAGTTCGGGTTAGAATTGATCTTCAGGAACCCATGCTTGTCATAAAAGGCAGTCTGGCTTGCTGACTTGGTTGACACGCATTGTCACCGTATCCCAATTTGTGTAGATTGGTGCTCATGCTGTTGACCCCTGTATTGTTGCAATATAGCTGGAATATTGCTGAGTGCGGAGTAAAACTAAACTCACTCACTCACTACAAGCACAGGCTTATGTTTGTTCCAAACTTCCACTCCATTGGTCAGATGTTATCCCAAACCTGGAGATGATTTGAGACATTTAACTACAAGTACTTTTGATTTTAATAATATCCAGGAATTTAGTTATTTTCATCCAACAGTGAAAGTTGGTATTCTGTGTTCTTAAATTTGACATTTTTGTACACTGAGAGGTAATAAATTTAAATATTACATGTATATATTTGTATTAACATTTTTTGAAAACTAAAATAATGTTGATGATTCTATGTGTTTAGACTGATGTGATCGTCAACACAACCAACTCAGGTCTGAATCTGGCAGAAGGGGTAGTGTCCAAGGTCATGCTGAAAGCAGCTGGTGATGACCTTCAGGATGAATGTAAAACAAAGTATCCCTCAGGGGTCAAGGCCGGTGAAGTAGCAGTGACAGGGGGAGGTAATTTGTCCTGCAAGCAGGTGTATCATATCACGCTGACAGATGACTGGAGTAGTGATCAGCCAGGGACTGAAAAGGTATGGTGTTATTACAGAAGGATTGGTATGTCTGCAGTATTCCTGTCTTAAAAATATATTTGAATTTAAATAATGTTTTGATCATTTGAGTTTGAAGATTAGAAATTTGAAAATAGTCCTCAGCAAAACCGTGCTTGTCGTAAGAGGCGACTAACAGGATTAGGTGGTCAGGCTCGCTGACTTGGTTGACACATAATATCCCAATGGGGTAAATCGATGCTCATGATGCTGATCACTGGTTTGTCTGGTCCAGACTCAGTAAGTTACCGACAGCGTCCATATAGTGCTGCGTTAAACAACCAACAAAACAAATATACATTAAAGGTTGACTCGGAGGCCCCAGTTAGTGCTGAAACATCATTCCAATAGCAAAGGAATGACTGGATAGGGATTAGCATTATACCATTAGATACATGGCCCGCTAGCCAGTGGCCAGTAAAAATCCAGTTTTGCCAGTAAATCTCTACAGTCACTGGCCTGACTAGTTAGTGTATTTTCATGGGGTCATTTTGTAAATATATCACTCTCTCCGACATGTTAAGGCCAAGATTATGGCCTGATAAAAATGTTCATCATATTAGCAGCTTAATAATGAAACCTGTGTCATGTCAACAATATCTTATTCTCATCATCTTTTGTTTAGCTTCTACATTCGAATTTCGGGCTAGTGAATTATTATGGGCTAGTAACTTTCAGGCATTTCTAGTCCAACTGGCTATCAAAATTTGGAAACTATTTGGCACACTGTACATCATGTATGGTGTTGAAGACCTGGCTTATTAAGTGTGGTACTAGTATCAAGCACCCGGTGTTAAACACAGAATGCCTGTCTCACATCATGATGATGTTCCAGCTGCTGAGGGGCACTATATTAAAGTGCCTGAAGACGGCCGACGACGCCGGACTCACCAGTCTCAGTTTCCCGGCCCTTGGAACAGGAGGGCTGAAGTATGACCCAGCGCGTGTGGCCGAGCTGATGTACAGCGTCTGCCTCAGCTTCAGGTCCAAAGGACTGAATAAGGTCATCCTCGTGATACATGCTAGCTCCCCTGGAGTCAAGCAGGTACAATCACTCATAGTCCACTTACTATAGGTGACCTGTGAGTGAGTGAGTGCACTCAGCAATATTCCAGCTATATGGCGATGGTCTGTTAATAATCGAGTCTGGACCAGACAATCCCGTGATCAACAGCATGAGGATCGATCTACGCAGTTGGGATACGATGACATGTGTCAACCAAGTCAGTGAGCCTGACTATGGCAAGCATGGGTTACTGAAGATGAATTCTAATTCGATATATCTGTGTTAGAAATTGTCTTCAGCAACCCACGATTGTCATAACCGGTCACATATGATTAGGTTGATGCATGGGATTGTATTCCAGTTGCAAAGCACGATGCTCATGTTGTCAAACACTAGATTGTCTGGTCCAGACACAAATATTTACAGACCACCATCAACATGAAAACACCTTTTCACTAAATACTGATGGTAGTACTTTATGAGGTCAAGTCTCATCTGGGATTCAAACATGGAACATAGGTTACTTTTGACTACTTTTTAAAAGACATTGTGTATTCTTAACTTTCAACCATGGAAACCGTGCCAGTTTAAATTGCCAGAATGTGTTGGTCACCTGGCACGCCAGTTAAAGGCCTGTGTAGGTGTGTATAAAGATGAAATGAGTTAGTGAGTAAATACTGATGCAGGGTGATTAATGGTAACTTTAATAGATTATCTTGTCAAAAATAATCAAAATTTGATCACCGATTCCCAGTTTCAGTTTCAATATGAGCTCCACTGTGGCCTTCTTGAAAATCCATTTAGTGGAAATCCCTTTTGTGGAAGTTACAGTGGCTGAGTGGGTAGAGTTGCTGACTTTGTCTCTAACCAGACTCTGTCAGTGTGAGTTCGAATCCTGAATGGGACTCAACCCCCCAAATGTTCTAGAATCAGTACTTTTTTCGAGAAAGTGTAATCAGTGGAATGCCTGTCCTTACTTAGTTACATTTCGGGGAATTTTAACTTTGATGCTTAAAACCTAAAACTTAAAGTGGCACAAAAGTGATTTCTTATCTGAAGCCAAAACCTGAACCTTTGATATAAATTATTCCATACTTTATTACTGTTAGACTTCTTGCTCGTAATTTTTTCCAGGCTTTCGATAACGAGTTGGCCAAACGAAAAAATGCCAAGTCAGCCAGATCATCCAAAGTGACCCCTTCACTAGCCAAGACAATAGGTAGGTGTAAGGATAGTAGTGTTGCTCTTCACTGCTTGCCACAACAATAGGTAAGTGTGAGGGAAATAGTATATTTCTGTTTCCAAGAAAACATGTATGTCATTGGTGGGAGGAATGAATAGTGCATAATGTCATTGCTGGAGGAAACTCTAGGTAGGTAAATCTGTATGGGAAAAGATAATGTGATAGTATCACATTTATTAACAAATTTTGGACTATTTTCCAGGGCAAGTATCGTCTGTGAAGATCACCCTAGTGAAAGGCAACATTGTTGATCAAAAGGTTTGTCCTGTGAACTTATCTTGCTTGCCACTTAATGGTTTGGCATTTTGCAGATATTTCTCGCAAACATATTTTCAAAATTATTACCAAATTTATTGAGTTATCATTCATGTTCTCAAGTACAGTATCTTTGAAATGGACACGTCTGTGTTACTTAATAATATATACAGGTGCAGCTGAAGTAGAAATGGTCTTGTCTTCTAGGGTGCACCTTGCACTCACTAAATATTTTCTTTTGACAGCAGGAATCTATTTTGACCTTGAGCTGATTTTAACCATGATTTTAACCAGTAGCACACTGATACAGGGATATATATAGTCTGGCCGAAAACTTTTTGTGATGCTGTTTGGTCACTTTACTCAAAACTACAAGTACATTTGTTTTCTAATTTGGCATGATGCAATATAATTGTTCTACCATTGTGAATTTTGACTTTCATGAATTATGATTTAATAATAAAAAAGTTGTCTATAAAAGCTATCATATGAAAAGTTTTCTGCCTGACAATAAATGATGTATAAACTGATCAAAGGGAAATAACCCTGATTTCACTCACACCAGTACTCTCTATAGAGAACATATGCATACCTTTGTTCTCCAATTTCAGGTAGATGTGCTTGTGAACTCCTGCACTCCAAAGTTGAAGCTGTCCAGTGGCCCACTGACGAAGGCTGTATTGAAGGCAGCAGGGGAGACAATCCAGGATGAGTGCAGACAGAAGTACCCCAATGGAATCAAGCCAGGAGAGGTTGCCGTGACGAGTGGAGGCAGGATGACCTGTAAGCAGATTTTTCACATCACACTGACCGATTGGAAACCAGATGATGCAGACGTGGAAAAGGTAGGATGTTTGTGTGTGTGTTGGAAAACTTCTCATAGCATAGCCTCATTCTGTCGACACTGCAAGCATGGAATTATCTTTCAGATCCGAAACTCCTTTTGTTCTGCAAAAGAAGTTGATATCTATTTTAGTCAATACCAAGGTGGGAGTGTCTCTTGTAAGTAGTGGTGGGTATTGCAGAGAATTTTCATATTATGCGATATATTGCGATGCAAAAGAATTGTGATATGTATTGCGATATGTAACAAAAAACTACTTATAATCAAGATCATGCTTGATTTATAAAGGAAAAACACAACAAAATCACTATGCTTGACTAAATTTAATAAAAACAAGAAAACGAACAATTTAAGAAATGGAAATATCCGAAGATTTCGAAATGTAACGAAGTTTTCGAAATACATGTCAAAATACTGGTTTTTGATCAGTGTATCGCATAATGCATTATCGTTTTCATGTCTGAACTGGTAAATAATGGTAAACCGGTTATATTGCTCGGCCCTGCTTGTAAGCCACTGGTGCTATACATGTATATTGTCTAAATATAGAGGGGCAGTAGGGTAGCCTAATGGTTGAGCGTCCGCTCGTTACACTGAAGATCAAGGTTCGATTTCCCACATGGGTACAATGTGTGAAGCCCATTTCTGGTTTTCCCCGCCATGATATTCCTGGAATATTGCTAAAAGCTACGTAAAAGCATCCTCAGTCATTGACTCTAAAAATAGGTATCACTCACTTTTGGTGAACAAATGTAAGTATTTAACAAATACCTGAGCTTGGAGAGCCCTTTCACTTAAAGCTTGATATCTGTTTACATTTTTCAGTAGTACATGTGATTTTAAAGATTTTACAAAGACACTACAATTAGGGCTGGGACCACACTATGTCACGATACGATACATATCGCGATATTTTACCTGCGATACGATGTGTATCACAATACATACACCTTGAAAGAATGACACAGTATTAAGAGGCCAGCCCTGATAAGTTGTTCATTGTTACATATGCATACATATACATGCATATGGTTGTCATTTGCAGGTTTTAATAAGTTTGGATAAGTAAAATACCTGATAAGTAAACAATTTTGGCGAGTCCATTGAAATTTTACTTATCAGGTTTCCACTGTACTTTGTTTAACATGTTTAAGATAATACTGTTTTGAAAAAAAAGTGGTGTATTATTTTGTATCGATACACCAGTCAACGATATGATAGCTGTATCACACTTATATGTATCGTGATGTATCGGTGCCTTGGTGAATCGTCCCAGCCCTAACTATGATTGATGTTTCCCCTGATTTAGGCATTCAGGAATGTGATCCACTTATGTCTGAAGACAGCATGTCAGGGAATCCACTCAAGTATTGCCATTCCGATGCTTGGCACTGGAGTTTTGAAATATCCTCCAGCATCTGTCACAAAATGGATATTTGAGGCTATACGTAACTTTGGTGCCCGTAATCCAGCATGTTCATTGGCTGAAACCAGGATTGTTGTCAGTCCTACAGATCTGCAAAATATACAGGTGAGGCATTACATGATGTTGAGTTGTAATTACAGGTGGGCTACTCTATGTTGAGTTGTAATTACAGGTGGGCTACTCTATGTTGAGTTGCAATTACAGGTGGGCTACTCTATGTTGAGTTGTAATTACAGGTGGGCCAACGCTCTATGTTGAGTTGTAATTACAGGTGGGCTACTCTATGTTGAGGTGTAATTACAATATCTGTTTTGAGGTAAATCAGGAAAGGGACTAACTAAAATCACAAATATAATCCATGATCATAGGTAACACTAAGATGTATTTTAGCATTACAAACATCTGTTAATATTAGAAGCAGATGTATTAAATAGTGTATTACATTAAAGCAATACTATTGACAGCTAGGTGGAACTCTCACACTAACTCCCCCAACCAAGACCATGACGAGTACCGATCGCTGCGGAGGTACTAGTTGACAGTTTAATGAAGCGTGACCCTTTATTCAAAATGACATCATCAACTCGGAAGTGACGAATTATTGGCACAAATACTAGTGGACTTGCTGAATGTGAGAGTATAAAGCTGAAGGACCCAAGTGACATATGACTGCTCGTTCCTGTTGCTAAGAAACCAATGATGCTATATACTTAACAAAGCTGAACTACCACTGATAGTGTGTGAGTGAGGACAGTTATGGTACTCAGATGCAAAGATTGGAGAATAGACATAATTTGTAACCACTGTAAAGATGGCAACACTTTCTTTTATAATGTAACAATTCTTGATCTATCTCAATATTCCAAAAGCATATATAAAGTGCCAAAAAGTTCACTTCAAGTCAGGTGCTGGTTTTTCTCTCAAGAAAACAGTTGTTCAGGGGATTCAGTATATGCAGATAATAAACTACATTGTATTCCTCCAGCAAATTCAGGTATTTTCTAACTTGGTCACTAAAAACTTGAAATTTGAGGTGTGACATCACGAGACACAATGATCTACCATTTAAAGGGCCACTGATCCAGAGCGATTAATGTTTCTAGCCAACAGTCTAATTACGAAACCAAGCTGCAGGTTGATCACTATCTGCTCCCTCGATCGTGACAGACACGGGGACTGGGCTACTGTTTACCTTGGCAGAATTTCTTCAATTTAATTAGTGGGGCATTAGGAAGGGTGAATGCCCAACAGATGCCGTTATTTGAAAATATCCCCGGTAGTTCTTATCTGATTGTAATAAAGTATCCCAGCAGTGTAGGCTTTTTCAGATTTTCAAATACTTGGATGGTATAGTGACTGATCCAATTTGATCCTATTTCTGTGTTTTTTTACCTCGATATTTGATGCTATGATATAAAAAACACACATTTGATATATTTGAATCCATAAACTAAACAACCCTACTTTGTCATTGCTAAAAAAATCTGAATTTTTACTTAGGTACATAGGTATATACAGTTTTTAACTAAGTACACAACAAATGCTTATATTTATTTCTTATGTAACAATGAAGTTCCGTTCATATCCTCAAAACAGTGTCGGCCCATAAGTTTTATTTTCAGGCAATCAAACTTGCATGCAATAGAGTGATTACTACTCTCTGGCTGTAACCCTTGTTTGGTGGTAAACATACACATGTTATTTGTCATCATTCACTTGATGGTCAGTTAATGAATTTATAACAGGTATAATTAGCGATAACACCACTCTGATTACCGACAAAGGTTCCCATTTGGCATTTCTTGTGTCTGAAGTAAATACTCATCATTATAAATTGAGGTCTGATGTGGCAAATGTATTACATCTTATGTAATATGCGCATGGAAGTGCAGCAAGAGGTTATCAGCTGAATTATCAAAACAAACATCGATCAAAGGATTAACCGATAACACGCTGATTGATTAATTGTATTTATCCTGCACAGCAGATTTGTCAAAAGGTAGGGTTTATGTATGTAGATTTACTAATCTATACTGAATACACCCTGTCGTAAAGTCTCTTTGTAAAAACGACGTCCTTCCTTCAAAGGATTAACCGCCAATTCATTGATTGATTGCTCATTATTGGCTAACGGAATTACTTTTTAAAGAATGGCAGACGTCATGCAATTAGTTGCCAGGTGCGCTATCTTGGGTGACCAATCGGACTAAACACCAGTGTGAAAAACCTGAAACGATAGATCACTTTTTCGCATATTAGATTGTTAAAAGACACATGACATGGAACAGGATTCTTTGTCAGCTACAGATGAATGGCATCTCATTCCTTTATGTGGATATTGTTGGATACATTCCCCAAACAAGGTAATAGCCTGATATCGTTGCTATAACTTTAGTCTGTTTTACTTTCAATATTTGCATTTTGTTTTTATATCTTTGTTATGGCATTCAACAGAATTAGTTTTTTTGTGTGTGAAATATGATTCACGTTGGCAATCTATAAGATGCCTAGATATTACAGTCATGTTATAAATTCACTAAGTGTAATCAGATCGTGTGCATTTTATTGTTTCAAAATGAATACAAATATTATAATAAACTAATTCCAAAATAAATGGACTTGAACAACATCCCAGACTTATCTTTGACTATCCATCTTAGCTACATCATCCCCGGAACAAGTGGATAGACAGATTGCCTAGGGAGAAGGGTATAACACCCAGACACCCTCAGGTAACAATTATAAGACAAAATATAAAGACGTACATTGACTTCGTTATTTCAGTCCTAACATTTTTTACCACTGGCAGATGGTTAAACTTACAATGTTTTCATTTGTTATCAAAATAATGCCATTTAATACAATATTCAGATTGACTAGAAGTGAACCCAAGCTCACTACTCTCCCCAAGACTCCCCATGTACTTCGTTAGCCTTACTTTCAAAACAATGCAATTGTATCAGGCTTCTCGCCAAATTCACCAAACTATTTCTTAAATCAAATTCTACATCCATTTACGTTAACATTTTTATAAAGTCAACATTACTATGAAATCAAAGTTTTTATCAGCATTTTTATCAAAGTGAATATTTTTTTATAAGAAACCAAATTATTCATCAATTTTACAACAAAATCAACATAAGATGGAAATATTATCGAGTAAAAAAGATTTCATCTTTGTTGATCAGTCTATATTTATACTATCAATTGCGCATGAGGGTGGCGCCTCAGAGGTAACAAACCAGTCATGAATTCTGGGATATCATCCGGGTATTCACGGGAGAAAAACAATAACAAAAGCAACAACCAGTACATGGAAATTGCTCTGGATCAGTGGCCCTTTAAGTGATAGCTTCTTGCGTCACAGTGTTAGTTTGTGAATAAAAATGTGTAATATAGAGGCTAGACAGTGATGGACAGTGGGGTTCTATATGTGTAATATAGGTGGCTAGACAGTGATGGACAGTGGGGTTCTATATGTGTAATATAGGTGGCTAGACAGTGATGGACAGTGGGGTTCTATATGTGTAATATAGGTGGCTAGACAGTGATGGACAGTGGGGTTCTATATGTGTAATATAGGTGGCTAGACAGTGATGGACAGTGGGGTTCTATATGTGTAATATAGGTGGCTAGACAGTGATGGACAGTGGGGTTCTATATGTGTAATATAGGTGGCTAGACAGTGATGGACAGTGGGGTTCTATATGTGTAATATAGGTGGCTAGACAGTGATGGACAGTGGGGTTCTATATGTGTAATATAGGTGGCTAGACAGTGATGGGCAGTGGGGTTCTATATGTGTAATATAGGTGGCTAGACAGTGATGGGCAGTGGGGTTCTATATGTGTAATATAGGTGGCTAGACAGTGATGGACAGTGGGGTTCTATATGGGTGGCTAGACAGTGATGGGCAGTGGGGTTCTATATGTGTAATATAGGTGGCTAGACAGTGATGGACAGTGGGGTTCTATATGTGTAATATAGGTGGCTAGACAGTGATGGACAGTGGGGTTCTATATGTGTAATATAGGTGGCTAGACAGTGATGGACAGTGGGGTTCTATATGTGTAATATAGGTGGCTAGACAGTGATGGACAGTGGGGTTCTATATGTGTAATATAGGTGGCTAGACAGTGATGGGCAGTGGGGTTCTATATGTGTAATATAGGTGGCTAGACAGTGATGGGCAGTGGGGTTCTATATGTGTAATATAGGTGGCTAGACAGTGATGGACAGTGGGGTTCTATATGTGTAATATAGGTGGCTAGACAGTGATGGGCAGTGGGGTTCTATATGTGTAATATAGGTGGCTAGACAGTGATGGACAGTGGGGTTCTATATGTGTAATATAGGTGGCTAGACAGTGATGGACAGTGGGGTTCTATATGTGTAATATAGGTGGCTAGACAGTGATGGGCAGTGGGGTTCTATATGTGTAATATAGGTGGTTAGACAGTGATGGGCAGTGGGGTTCTATATGTGTAATATAGGTGGCTAGACAGTGATGGACAGTGGGGTTCTATATGTGTAATATAGGTGGCTAGACAGTGATGGACAGTTGGGTTCTATATGTGTAATATAGGTGGTTAGACAGTGATGGGCAGTGGGGTTCTATATGTGTAATATAGGTGGCTAGACAGTGATGGGCAGTGGGGTTCTATATGTGTAATATAGGTGGTTAGACAGTGATGGGCAGTGGGGTTCTATATGTGTAATATAGGTGGCTAGACAGTGATGGACAGTGGGGTTCTATATGTGTAATATAGGTGGTTAGACAGTGATGGACAGTGGGGTTCTATATGTGTAATATAGGTGGCTAGACAGTGATGGACAGTGGGGTTCTATATGTGTAATATAGGTGGTTAGACAGTGATGGACAGTGGGGTTCTATATGTGTAATATAGGTGGCTAGACAGTGATGGACAGTGGGGTTCTATATGTGTCATATAGTGCACAACTGATTCTTAAGTGTCAACTTTGGAATCAACATGTAACAATGTCCTGTTGTGCTAGGCATTGTTATACATGCAGAGATTGAGATTACAGTGTGGGTTGTCTCATTACAAAGCAGGAAATAGAAATCAGCTGTACATGTTTCCTCCTAGCTTAAAGCACCCAATAAATAACTTCAAACAAATTTGCATTGACCTGAATTTTTTATCATTAACTATTGTTCTAAGCAGAAATAAGACATTCAAGTATTGAACAGTTATTTTAGTTGTAAAATTCAATAAAGAACATTTAAGATAGTGACATCTATAGCACTTTGTTCAGCTGACCATTTGTGGACAGATATTTTACTTATTGAATTGTCTTTGGATGTTTACATGGAAGAAAGTACAGTATACTACAGCTATAAGTGACGACTAATTTTAGTTTATTATATGCATTTTGACTAAAATATACAGCAAGCAAAAAATATATAAGCTTTTTTATGAGCAGTTTTGTTATTAAATATAGTTTACTTTATATAAAATATCCACTTGGAAAATAGAAGCTGCTTATTCTTGAAAAACTATTCTTATGTTTTTGACAGCATGTTGGTTACAAGTGTTTCAAACATATTTTATTTCAAAAGAAAGAAAAGGGATTGACAAATAAGTCAATGGGCTTATATAAATGCCTGTCCCAAACATGTACATATTTCCAGAAGCTATTTACAACAAATCAATTGCCAGTAAAGTAATAGAATGTATTGGTACCACATTGCTTGTTGAGTAAAATATGGTATTTAATTGTTTAACTTTATGAATAATTTCTTAAGGTCTGTTACTTAGTACAAGTGTATGCTGCTGTTTGTGATGTTCCAGGCACTGGTGGGAGCCAGCAGTGCTGTCTCTCAGCCTGCTAGAGCCACACCCTCAATGACAGGTATGTAGATAGAAAGCCCAGAATAGAAGACTAGACAACTATTCATTTGAAACAAAAAATCCTTTTATCATAATGATCTGAAGACAGAGTCTAAAGTTACTTTCATGAAAAAGTCATCCAGTTATATCAGCTGTATTCTTGTACCGTAAAGGTTGTTGGCCATTGTGTGAAGGATAAGTCTAATCAGATGATTTTTATGGAAAAGCAGGTACAATGACTGTATGACACACACACACCCCACCCACTGAAGATGGGCCCATTTGGATATGCTCATCAGGTCCACGGTGGCCCATGTGATGTTGGCTGTGACACATATTTCTGGTACACATAATGATGCTTAGCAATTATTGGTTGTAAAGATGAATAATATGAGATGAGAGTTGTATATGGAAACAGGAGTGTAACATAATGTAAATAAAGTAAACACATTAAATTAAAATGATTTAAAATGAAATTATAAGATTTATCAATGTGGTTCAGGCTACCTAAATAAAAAAGTCAATTAAAGTTTTTATCTGCTCAATCCGACCCCTTCTTGAAACTTGGAGCAGTGGGCTACAATGTGTGAAACCTTTCAACATCATAGTAATGGTCCCTCACATTGACCCCATCTTGAAACTTGGAGCAGTGGGCTACAATGTGTGAAACCTTTCAACATCATAGTAATGGTCCCACACATTGACCCCATCTTGAAACTTGGAGCAGTGGGCTACAATGTGTGAAACCTTTCAACATCATAGTAATGGTCCCACACATTGACCCCTTCTTGAAACTTGGAGAAGTGGGCTACAATGTGTGAAACCTTTCAACATCATATTAATGGTCCCACACATTGACCCCATCTTGAAACTTGGAGCAGTGGGCTACAATGTGTGAAACCTTTCAACATCATAGCAGTGGGCTAATGGTCCCACACATTGACCCCTTCTTGAAACTTGGAGCAGTGGGCTACAATGTGTGAAACCTTTCAACATCATATTAATGGTCCCACACATTGACCCCTTCTTGAAACTTGGAGCAGTGGGCTACAATGTGTGAAACCTTTCAACATCATATTAATGGTCCCACACATTGACCCCTTCTTGAAACTTGGCAGCAGTGGGCTACAATGTGTGAAACCTTTCAACATCATATTAATGGTCCCACACATTGACCCCATCTTGAAACTTGGAGCAGTGGGCTACAATGTGTGAAACCTTTCAACATCATAGTAATGGTCCCACACATTGACCCCATCTTGAAACTTGGAGAGTGGGCTACAATGTGTGAAACCTTTCAACATCATATTAATGGTCCCACACATTGACCCCATCTTGAAACTTGGAGAAGTGGGCTACAATGTGTGAAACCTTTCAACATCATAGTAATGGTCCCACACATTGACCCCATCTTGAAACTTGGAGCAGTGGCTACAATGTGTGAAACCTTTCAACATCATATTAATGGTCCCACACATTGACCCCATCTTGAAACTTGGAGCAGTGGGCTACAATGTGTGAAACCTTTCAACATCATATTAATGGTCCCACACATTGACCCAATCTTGAAACTTGGAGCAGTGGGCTACAATGTGTGAAACCTTTCAACATCATAGTAATGGTCCCACACATTGACCCCATCTTGAAACTTGGAGCAGTCATAGGGCTACAATGTGTGAAACCTTTCAACATCATAGTAATGGTCCCACACATTGACCCCATCTTGAAACTTGGAGCAGTGGGCTACAATGTGTGAAACCTTTCAACATCATATTAATGGTCCCACACATTGACCCCATCTTGAAACTTGGAGCAGTGGGCTACAATGTGTGAAACCTTTCAACATCATATTAATGGTCCCACACATTGACCCCATCTTGAAACTTGGAGCAGTGGGCTACAATGTGTGAAACCTTTCAACATCATATTAATGGTCCCACACATTGACCCCATCTTGAAACTTGGAGCAGTGGGCTACAATGTGTGAAACCTTTCAACATCATATTAATGGTCCCACACATTGACCCCTTCTTGAAACTTGGAGAAGTGGGCTACAATGTGTGAAACCTTTCAACATCATATTAATGGTCCCACACATTGACCCCATCTTGAAACTTGGAGCAGTGGGCTACAATGTGTGAAACCTTTCAACATCATATTAATGGTCCCACACATTGACCCCATCTTGAAACTTGGAGCAGTGGGCTACAATGTGTGAAACCTTTCAACATCATATTAATGGTCCCACACATTGACCCCATCTTGAAACTTGGAGCAATGGGCTACAATGTGTGAAACCTTTCAACATCATATTAATGGTCCCACACATTGACCCCATCTTGAAACTTGGAGCAGTGGGCTACAATGTGAAACCTTTCAACATCATATTAATGGTCCCACACATTGACCCCATCTTGAAACTTGGAGCAGTGGGCTACAATGTGTGAAACCTTTCAACATCATATTAATGGTCCCACACATTGACCCCTTCTTGAAACTTGGAGAAGTGGGCTACAATGTGTGAAACCTTTCAACATCATATTAATGGTCCCACACATTGACCCCATCTTGAAACTTGGAGCAGTGGGCTACAATGTGTGAAACCTTTCAACATCATATTAATGGTCCCACACATTGACCCCATCTTGAAACTTGGAGCAGTGGGCTACAATGTGTGAAACCTTTCAACATCACATTAATGGTCCCACACATTGAATGGTCCCACATCTCTGAAACTTGGAGCAGTGGGCTACAATGTGTGAAACCTTTCAACATCATAGTAATGGTCCCACACATTGACCCCATCTTGAAACTTGGAGAAGTGGGCTACAATGTGTGAAACCTTTCAACATCATATTAATGGTCCCACACATTGACCCCTTCTTGAAACTTGGAGAAGTGGGCTACAATGTGTGAAACCTTTCAACATCATATTAATGGTCCCACACATTGACCCCTTCTTGAAACTTGGAGAAGTGGGCTACAATGTGTGAAACCTTTCAACATCATATTAATGGTCCCACACATTGACCCCTTCTTGAAACTTGGAGAAGTGGGCTACAATGTGTGAAACCTTCAACATCATATTAATGGTCCCACACATTGACCCCTTCTTGAAACTTGGAGCAGTGGGCTACAATGTGTGAAACCTTTCAACATCATATTAATGGTCCCACACATTGACCCCTTCTTGAAACTTGGAGAAGTGGGCTACAATGTGTGAAACCTTTCAACATCATATTAATGGTCCCACACATTGACCCCATCTTGAAACTTGGAGCAGTGGGCTACAATGTGTGAAACCTTTCAACATCATAGTAATGGTCCCACACATTGACCCCATCTTGAAACTTGGAGCAGTGGGCTACAATGTGTGAAACCTTTCAACATCATATTAATGGTCCCACACATTGACCCCTTCTTGAAACTTGGAGAAGTGGGTTACAATGTGTGAAACCTTTCAACATCATATTAATGGTCCCACACATTGACCCCATCTTGAAACTTGGAGCAGTGGGCTACAATGTGTGAAACCTTTCAACATCATATTAATGGTCCCACACATTGACCCCTTCTTGAAACTTGGAGCAGTGGGCTACAATGTGTTAAACCTTTAAACATCATATTAATGGTCCCACACATTGACCCCATCTTGAAACTTGGAGCAGTGGGCTACAATGTGTGAAACCTTTCAACATCATAGTAATGGTCCCACACATTGACCCCTTCTTGAAACTTGGAGCAGTGGGCTACAATGTGTGAAACCTTTCAACATCATATTAATGGTCCCACACATTGACCCCATCTTGAAACTTGGAGCAGTGGGCTACAATGTGTGAAACCTTTAAACATCATATTAATGGTCCCACACATTGACCCCATCTTGAAACTTGGAGCAGTGGGCTACAATGTGTGAAACCTTTCAACATCATAGTAATGGTCCCACACATTCACCCCATCTTGAAACTTGGAGCAGTGGGCTAGGCCTACCTTTAGAATACAGCACCACAAACTTTAAAAATACGTCATAATACCCTTTTACGTAATGTAATGTGATTTTGTTCGAAAGCACGTTCTCGATACAATGCCCTATGACGCCTGCATGGCAACACGGTTGTCTGGCTCAGCGAGTGTGTATAAGCTCCGCTCACTGGTGTTTCATCTCTACGAGCTATGTCATTGCATAAGCCCAACGATGTTGAGAGTTTCCAGTAGTTGTATACCGGCGGATGCTCAATATTTTGCAAGCACCAGTTTGAAATATTTTTCTTTTTTCACTAATACGCTCATATTTATTTGTATTACGGGCTGCTGAGGTGTTATGTTTTGTGTATTTTGTATTTTGTATTTTTTTTAATTTACATATATATTTTTGTCATTCAGTAATTTGCACCATTACATAGAAAAGTGTTTTATTAGTATTTTATTTTTCGAAGCGGTAATAATGCATTACACTAGACACGTCAGTCGTGTTTGTGCCGGTTCGGTCAATGCATTCTATTTATTAGGAATATTTCAAGGGGTTAGGGTTAGGGTTAGGGCTGAGGGTTTAGGGTTTAGGGTTTAGGGTTTAGGGTTAGGGTTAGGGACCTAATCCAATATAGCAGGTACATGTCCGGTGTAATACGTGAGTACCATTGTTGTTCTTCCTTTTTGCATTTTAATACTTTTTTTTCACACAAAAACGGGAAACCAAAAACGTCGAAAGTACATTATGAAATGGGTTAATGTTGAAATTTTGGGCTAATGGAAATTGGCCTGGAATTTGCACTCAAGCCTCTTTCACACGCAACATAAAATTTTGTTCAGTAATCATTCAAGGCTAACTCACCCTCGCGTCACCGCCACTACACATGCTCATGTCTCCATCGCTCCTTAGTGCAATCCACATTATCCTTACAGTGTTCCCTACATCACTTTTCTGTCACAAAATCACAGATTTATATAAATGCGCCGTCATTCATGCATGCACCGTGGAAATCTACGCCTGACGCCTGACGCCAACAACCCTTTTCAGTTTGAGGCATATCGGCTCATTCCACGCCACACGCTTAATTTGTAGATTACGGAATGGGACGAAAGTGTGCCAAATGGCATCGGATCCATTCGCAATTGTCCGGAGAATAAAATCACGAGGCACCAAGTCTACCCGTAACCTTCGTAATTGTCCGTGACCTATTCGACTCTTTCCGCTGATTTCCGTGACGTCACAGGAATGACTCGATAAATTTGCACATTGTGCAACAGTGTGGACGTAGCTCAGTCGGTTAGCTGTCGAAGCTAACAATCCGAAGGTCGCGGGTTCGCGTCCGACGGGTTCTCACAAACTGGTTGCTTGTCTTAATGACATGTGACCTACGGCAGAGATCGTCCTCACGAGAAGTTGTGGTGCTGTATTCTAAAGGTGCTCCGTGGGCTACAATGTGTGAAACCTTTCAACATCATAGTAATGGTCCCACACATTGACCCCATCTTGAAACTTGGAGCAGTGGGCTACAATGTGTGAAACCTTTCAACATCATATTAATGGTCCCACACATTGACCCCTTCTTGAAATTTGGGGCAGTGGGGTAGCATTGTGGTTAAATTCTTCGCTCATCATGCCAGGTTCGGTTCCCCACATGGGCACAATGTGTGAAGCCCATTTCTGATGACCCCTGCCGGGATATTGCTGGAATACTGCCAAAATGGGCATAAAACAAAACTCACTCACTCACTCACTCACTCACTCACTCACCATACTTGTGACTTTATGATAAATCTGGAATGCCTCTGAAACAGGCAAACATTGTGGTATGATTTGAAAAACATCCCATGTTTCCTGTGATTTAAGAGAACCTGCTGCCCCCTCCTGAGTGGACTCCCATGGCACCAGACAGCTACTTCGAGGTGATCCCGGTCATGCCGGGAAGCCAGGAATATCACGATGTGGCGACTCACTTCGGTCAGTCGATGGGACCACATACCATCGTGTCTGTGAGTACAAAATAAAATGAATGATCAAGCATATCTTGGCAAGAGCATACAATAAGAGACTTTACAGAGTGAGTGAGTGAGTAAGTGAGTGAGTATGGTTTTAAGCCACATCAAGATCACAGTATGGTGGACACAAGGTGGGCTTCATGCATATTCATAGGAGAATGTAACCAGGGCCTGTAATGTAAAGTGCAGATATTTCAGTCACTAAAGACAACCCACCAACCCTCGTACAGGTTGTATACTGAAGATACATGAAGATCCAGGTTTCCAACAAGCCCTGAGTGACGAAATAGGTAAGTAACAGGTAAGTAACGGATCGGGTGGTAAGGCTTGTTGATGCACATCATCATATCCCAACTGATCCAAGCAGCGATGCTGATACTACCGTTAATAATGATAATTAATAATAATTGTCCATTTGTATGGCACTGTATCCACACACTAGTGTATGCTCATGGCGCCCCATGTGTACACCTAGAAACTGCAGCAGTTGTACAAGTCACACGTAATATTTCCTGAAAAGATGGGTCTTCAATGAACATTTGAATGAGTCAAGGGAGGTTGCTGTTTTGCTGGGAAGACTGTTCCACAATGAAGGAGCACCATAGCTGAATGATCTGTGACCATAGTTCTTGAGATGGACAGGGGGTGTTGTTAGGAGGAACTGTTGGTGTGATCTCAGCTGTCGTGGTGGTGTGTACACTGAGATGAGTTCAGAGAGGTACTGAGGCGCTAGGTCATGTAGACATTGGAACACAGTGGTCAGGGTCTTGAATTCGATTCTGGCTTGGATGGGCAACCAGTGAAAAGACGTTAGGACAGGGGTTATATGAGATCTTTTAGATGTTAGGGATACGATGTGGGCTGCTACGTTTTGGATTTTCTGGACTTTTGTCAAGTGTGCAGAGCTGAGTCCAATCAGAATGCTGTTTGAATAGTCCAGTCTAGATAGAACGAAAGACCTGACGAGAGTATGGGCTGTATCTGTTGTTAAATTGTTAAATATAACCAACTGGCTTGTAATCTCAAGATTTTCACCGAAAGGTATATTACAATATTAGCATCATGTTTAACAACATTCAAACAAATAAATCCTAAACGATTTTCAAGTGTGTTTTTTTTTCTCATCAACAGAAAAAATAAGCAGTAACCCCAGAAGACTGATGGATCTGTACATCAAAGAAAACAGACATAAACTAAAAGTAAAATGGAGCAAAATGGAAGCTGAGTTTATCAGATTATGTAATGTTTCAGATTGAGCGGATACAGAACCAACACAAACACATACAATACATGGCGGAGAAACAGGCGAAGGAAGCAAAGAGACCTGGTCGGCAGAGTGAAAGGATGTTGTGGCACGGCACCAGTGAGGATGCCACCATCAGCATCAACATTAATGGATTCGACCGCAGCTACTGCGGCAAGAATGGTAAGGCTACACACACAATAATAACTTCAAAAGGAAGTTGCAATTTTCAATGTGCTGCATGTTGTAAACATTTCTGTCCTTGGATGCTATTTACCCATCAGAGATTTTCTCACCTCCACAAAATCAAAAGCTTTGAAATAATACAAGCAATTGCCTCATTATAATTTGCCTAAAGCCTTTTATCCTGATTATATAAGATGTCTGTGCTGTCCCCCATATTGAAAAATGTCAATTTTCCCTTATCCTGACTCATGCTTATTTGCTTGTCTCCTTCCTCTTGCGAACGTTAGTGGAACACTTGTTTCTCCTATTGAAGCTCCCTTCAATGAAAAACAGACGTAAAATCACTACTCACCAAGAGTTATCTGTTGAGCCGTTTGGGCGGGAAACTGTGGCGCCACCGTTCCCACATGCTTCACTCTCTCCTTCTTCGCCCTAGTGAGCGGTTGGGAGAGCGCCTGGGTCTCCTATACGGCACTATATCCTTTTATTAATTAGTTATTACCCTTTATTTTACCTTTATAGAGGTTTAGGAAGTATCTTACTACAATATGGGTTGAAATTTATTCGTATTTTGCACTGTTTATTCACGGTTTGTCTGTGTTTGTTCAGTTGTTTACATTTCATGAAATCCTGTTTTCGTTGTAGACTCAGATTCTCTGCTGCAGACCCGCATCAACTGTGCCCTAGCTGCACTACGCCATGTACTTCCAGCTCACCCTGCATTTATTGTCAGCATTTAACCAATTTTGCATTTAATAAATACCTTCTTTGCGTACTTAGACGTGCTGCAGACAGGTCAAGACGCCTTTTTCAAGTCATGGATAAGCCGGCTGGTCCCTCACGGGTCAACTGATGTCAGACGACCTCTTCCTTCAAGTGATGCCGGAGATTTCCTCGGGGGACGGGCGTGGGACGTTGTCCGCCACCTCCAAGAAGAGGGCTGCCGCTCCGGACATCCCGTCATCGCAGACTAAGAAAAAGAAGCCATCCTCTACCCAGAAAAGGCTACACACCCCTAAGACGACAACCAACTCTACGGGGACGTCTGCGCAGACTACCAGGACTTTCTCGGCCGAGATTGTCCGGATGTCGGAAAGAGGACTCTATGATGAGCCGCCACTCATCATCCCCGAGATACATCACCGCAAGAAGCGGGCCTCAGCAACGGTAACATCAGCGCAGTTGTCTACGCAGTCCGAGGTATCTACACTGACGGCAGATGAGCGATCCCTGGGCCATATCGCTACCAACGCAGAGAGGGCAGCTCATCTCTCACCGCAGACATTCAACCCGGGGGACTTCATGCAGGAGTTCTCACAGCAGATCATGGAGATGATGGAGAGGCGCTTCGCACTGGAAAGGGCATCGCTTGATCAACAACCAGCCCACAGAGCGGACCCGGACCTTCGCGAAGGTTCCAACGCAGACATCACTTCGGAGAGGCCCTCCAGCAACGTGACGACCGGGAACAGATCTTCACGCCAACCAGCCTGCGCCGGCGGACACACTATCCCCAGATGCCGAATCAGATGATCAGCACTCGCGAAGGCATTCGCGAAGGGCTTTGGACACAGCCTCAAAGACATCTTCAACATCGCATAGATCGTCGAGGGATTCACCGAGGCATTCACGAACCAAGAGACGCTCACCTCCGCGCAGGTCTCCACGCAGGTCGCCTTACAGACGCAGTTCACCGGGCTCCTCTCCACGTCGATCTCCACGAAGGTCTCCACGCAGGTCCCCACGCAGGTCTCCGCAGCCGCAGCGAAGGTCACCACACAGATCACCATCGGAGGAGGATCAACACTCCCTGATCAGCGCACCTGTCACAGAGGACGACGGTGGGATCATCGTCTTGGACTCGGAGATCAGATGGCCAACGGTCTGGACTTAGCGTCACCCTCTAAGGAAGAGAATGTAGGCCAGACTTACCTGATGCAGGACGATGACGTCGACACGATCACTCTACCACCAATTGATCCCATCTCGGAGGTTCCGGAGAACTTAGACGCAGCCTTCAAGAAGGCCACGAAATCTCAGGCGCCGCATCCTCCACAGTTCAACGCCAAGAAGTTCTCGCTCCCCAACATGGACCCATTCCTGAAAGCGCAGGAGATTGACGATAACTACAAAGTCATCAACGACTCCAAGGTCAAGTCTTATAAGATCGACGACAAGAAGTTGGCTCAAATAGAGACGATGACCAGGCAGATGTTCTTCGGCCTCAACAGATCCAGGACAGTAAACAAGACGCTCATCGCTAAGTTCAGGGACTCTACTGCGGAAGAAGACCGGATGATCTACTCTGCGCTACTCATGCAGAAGAAGGACCAGCAGTTTTTGACGGACCATCTATCATCCATCTCCGCAGCTTTGACTTTGGCAAGACGACAAGGTCTCCTCGCATCCTGCAACTGGAGTGAACGCTTCACTCAGTCCCTCTACAGAGCCCCATGGTCGACTCCATCCATCTTTGCTGGAGAGATTGACGACGTCGCCAAGGAAGTTACCAAAGACTCCAGAGAAGTCCTTATGATAAAGTCCATCGATACACTGGCCAGTGCCATCAGGCAGACATCCCAGCTCTACTCGGGCAAGTCGAAGTTCGCCGGTCTCCAGAAGGCAAGAGACAAAAAAATGAGCACCTATAGGGCCGGGAAGGACTTTTCGTCGCTTCAGCCGCAACTATAGAGGACGACTTGACGAGGCAGGGCACCCAGAGGCTTCAGGGATCATCGACGATGAAAGAGGGGTTCGAACGACTGGAGTCTTCCACCCCAGCCGCTCCCGCATGCACAACCTTCACAAGTGGGTGGACGCCTTCAACTATACTTGGAGAACTGGGGACTACTTCAAGATCCATTTGTATCCCGCATCCTAAGAGACGGATATCGCATACAACTACAAGCAGCTCCGCCGCTAACAGTCGACCCTCACAAGTTCGACTTCAAGACCCATCGGACAGAGAGGCTACGAGAGGCGGTTACATCTCTACTAGAGAAGAAAGCCATAGAAGTGGTGGATCAAGACCACATCACACCAGGGTTCTACTCCCCAGTTTTCCTAGTACCCAAGAAAAACTCCAAAGAAAAGTTCTGACTCATCTACAATATGAGGGCGTTCAACAGAGATTATCTACGCAGACCTCCCAAGTTCAGCATGATACATCTACCTAAATTACTCCACCTCGTCCGTCCGATGGATTACATGGCCAGCATAGATCTACAGGACGCCTACCTGCATATTCCTGTACATCCAGACTCGAGGAAGTACCTCAGGTTTACACTGGACGGACAACACTACCAATGGAAGGTCCTGCCATTTGGAATGTCATCGGCCCCCTGGTTGTTTACAAGGGTGACGAAGCCCATAGTCACATATCTACATCATCAATGTCTACGCAGTGCATTCTACCTAGACGACGGGATTCAAGTACATCAAGATCCCAGGCATCTCAGACTACAACTGGACTTCACCATCAGAGTGCTTACACAACTGGGGTGGCTAGTGAATCTCCTCAAGTCTACCTAGAACCTACAGGACCTGCAGTTCCTAGAAATCTGGTTCCTCACGACACAGAACCGCATAGTAGTAGCAGAGGACCGATGGCTCAAGATACAACAGACAATCTCGCAAGCTCTACTCTCTCCGTGGCCACTACGACAATGGCAGAGTCTGTTGGTCTCCCTCACGCCAGCACAAGACATGACAGCCAGAGGGAGGTTACAACTACGCCACTACAGGTCTTCGCCAATGCTCATCTAGACGATCCGAATCCTTCGACTCCCCGGACGCACTACGCACCACATCTACTATGGTGGACCCAGAGATCGAATGTTCTGCGGAGGCACCTATTTAGCAGAGCCGGAGTGCAAGACACATCTTTACGCGGACGATCACCCAAGGTTGGGGAGCACACCTCGACAACGACGCGTCGGCCGACATGGACCAAAGAGGAGGAAGGTCTGCACATCAACATGCTGGAAATGAAAGCAGTCGTAAAACGCCATACTCCACTGGACCACCATTCTACAGAATGCTCATCTGATGGTGCACACGGACAACTCCACAGTGGCGTTCTACATAAACAAGCAAGGATCAACACGGTCATCGAACCTCCTGGACCTCTGCTTTCAACTGTTCGACCTAACAGACGATCTGAACATCCACATAAGAGCATGCCACATTCCGGGAGCCAAGAATGTGATAGCAGACGCCCTCTCCCGTCCGAACGCAACCATCTCCAACAGAATGGATGCTACATCCAGCGATCTTCAAGCAGATCATCCAAGAGATGGAAGTACCGCTAATAGACCTCTTCGCCACGAGATTCAACAATCAACTGACAACATTCGTCTCACCAGTACCAGATCCACAAGCATGGGCAACGGACGCTCTAAGCATATCCTGGGAAGGACTAAACGCGTACGCGTTTCCACCGCCAGCTCTAATACCGAGGGTGTTGCAGAAAATCAGCCAGACGAAGGACCTCCAACTGATTTTGGTCGCGCCCTACTGGCCAGCGAGAGTATGGTTCCCCATTCTCATACAAGAACTAGGACCACCTCAACTGCAACTACCAGAGTGGACGAATCTACTAGTACATCCTCACACAAAGCAGGCGCACGGCAACCCAGGGGTGTTCCGACTACACGTGTGGACTGTATCAAGGCGTGCTTGAACAAGAGAGGATATTCCGCCAGGGCAGCGAAAGCAGTCACACTAGCTCTACGCAAGTCTACACGCAACTTGTACGACGACAAGTGGCGAAGCTTCGAGATATACGCTGCAAGGAACGGTTTTACAGCCATAAAAGCGACACACACTCAAGTGGCGGACTTCCTTTGTCACCTACGGCAAACAAAGCGATTAAAAGGGTCAACACTCTCAACATACCTAGCGGCATTGAGCTCAGTCATCACCATGAGGACAGGTGCCAAGCTGACGAAAGTACCAGAGTTACTGGCCTTACTTCGCTCTTATAAATTGGAGGACCAACAACAGAGATTTAAAGCTCCGGCGGGGACTCAACGTTGTTCTACGACATCTCACCAGTGACGCTTACTAAACCATTAGAGAGGACATCCTTCAATTCTTGACACATAAGACGCTGTTCCTGCTAGCCCTAGCAACAGCAGCAAGGATGTCGGAAATACATGCTCTGACTACTTTAGAGAACACGATTTGATGAAAATCAAAACACCGGTATATGGGACTGAGATGGGACTTCATAGCAAAGAATCAACTGCCAGGTCAACCGGACAGACAATTCCACGCCCCAGCATTATCATCCGCCCTTGGACCACAAGATACGCAGGGACTCTATCCTTGTGCCCAGTCAGAGCATTGAAAGTATACCTACAAAGATCCAGGATCAGGAGACAGAAATTCAAGCCGCCTCTTCATCCCCGATATCAACAGCGCCACAGACAGAGGTCTCCCCGCACTACGATATATCAATCTGGATCAGAACTGTCATACTACGGGCCTACAAAGCAGCAGGACTTGATCCTCCAAAAGCCTCCAACCCACACAAAGTTAGAGCTCTGGCGCCAACACTCGCTTCTACATGGGAATTGCTCGATCACGACGATAATGGAGGGCTGCTTTTGAAATCGGACATGGTGTTTGCAAACCACTACCTGAGGGACATCGCCACCGAGGACATCTCCGGCATTCACCATTTCGGCCCGCTGGTTGTAGCACAACAGCTGACAGTCCCTCAAAGGCGTTGAGACAAAGTCTCGCCCTTTTATCACATGACTTGAAAAAAGCCTACACTCCGGAGAGTTCTGCTTAAAGTCTAAATGCACGTCTAAGGACAAGCATAAGTGATGGGACCCAGTACTTGTAAGGATACTCGTACAGGAAAGGGTCGCTTCTCCACTTGGTGCTTGCATCAAGAGATGGAGTCTCAAAATCCACATAAAATGTTAACAGAAGAAAGGACCAAACGTTAACTATTGTGGTCCCCACCATCTAAAGGCAGCTGGAAGTACAGGGTCGCAGCAGCAGCAGAGACTAGCAGTAAAATAGAAGTGCCAATAAGAAGTTCCCATAGGGGGGTATATATGACGTAAATCACTACATGAAATCCAGAAGTAGCTTCACCCACCACCAAATCCGACGGATTCTACAAGCAAATAAGCATGAGTCAGGATAAGGGAAAATATGTAATTTTCTGAATAAAATAGATATTTTATACTTATCCTGACTCATGAGGTAAGCCCTCCCAACCTCCCCACCAGACACTTTGGATTTCCCTGCAAATTTTAGTGTCGGGCTCATAATCAGGAGAGAGTGAAGCATGTGGGAACGGTGGCGCCACAGTTTCCCGCCAAAACAGCTCAACAGATAACTCTTGGTGAGTAGTGATTTTACGTCTGTTTTTTATTGAAGGGAGCTTCAATAGGAGAAACAAGTGTTCCACTAACGTTCGCAAGAGGAAGGAGACAAGCAAATAAGCATAAGTCAGGATAAGTATAATATATCAATTTTATTCAGAAAATTACATTTTTCCTATTTTGGCCCTCTTTCAGCCATTCTTTACTGTAGCATTTTGAAATATGATAAGGCCAGACCAATTTTATTTCTTGTTTTATGGATCTGTCGGATGTATTTTTTCAAGAATAAGAAAAAATAATAATTAATTTTCCCTACTTAAAAAATAAAATCCTAATGTTTGTGTGATATAAGTGAAACCTAAACTCACACAACTTATTTTAGTTGATATAAACAAACCAAAAGAGTTAACATGGACACTCACGTGGGTTTTTGCTTTGACTTGTGATTTTATTTTTTTATTTTTTTCCCTCCGGCCTTAAGATTGGCTGAGGACAAAATTCTGTAAAACAAGAAATAGAATTGGTTTGGCCAAAGCATTAGATATATGATATACCATTTAGGATGCCATTTTGAAAATTATTTACATTTGTATACAGTTAGCTTTGTTGTATTAGTGTATAAATCCTTGTACATCTTCAAGATCATATTTTGCAAAAACAGTAATAAATATGTAGGTGAGCTACAGACTGCCCTGTCAGGTAGCCATCGGATCCACAAATCCAGGAACAAGAACAGTGTTTTGTGTAGAACTAACAAGTGATGTCGGACTAATTGTTTTTTTTAGATGCTTGTGCACATGAACGACTTGCGACAGTCTCCTTTTTTCTTTCAGCCGTGATGTATGGTGAGGGCGTATACTTCGCTCGCAACTCGAGTTACTCGGCCCAAGGCACGTACTCAAAGAAGGATAAGCAGGGACACAAGCGGATGTACCAGGCTCGAGTGCTCACTGGGGATTTTACTGCGGGGAAGTCAGGGATGAAGCACCCTCCCCCTAGGGATCCCAAAACACCTCATGATACGTTCGACTGTGTGGTCGACAATGTCAGCAAACCAGATATATTTGTGATTTTCAGTGATGTACAAGCATACCCAGCATACCTGGTCACGTTTACTGACTGAGGTGGAATTATCGTAGGCATGTGTCATATCTTCCTACGAACCACTGTTCTAATACGGCCATATTTCCCGGTTCTCGTAAAATCCCCTAGCGGCAAAAGATCGCAACACGAATTATCTCCCTTCTTTCTATCCAATCTGAACACGTGTTACATCGACTTAGATTCAACTTGACTAACACAAGCAAATGTGGGGCCACAAATATCCCCCATCTGCCGGGGAATTGTGTTGATGTTACACACAAGACGTTTAATGACTAGCTTGTCCGTTGTCAACGAGGGCGATGGAGACGCCACTGATCCGACATAACATGACTGAGTTCTGTCTAGAAGAAACGTTTGCGCTTGCGCAGGGGAAGAAATTGAGTTTTTCTCGAAGCATACGGAAATTACCGAGACCTTGCGAATGATCACTTTTGAAACAACGTCGCTGATTGCACAACTAAATCTGATTGCCTCCAATCACGAGTCTTGAACGTCACACCATGAAAGGGTCGTATTAGAACAGAGGTTACGTAGGAAGATATGACAGGAGTAACCTCTGTGGGAAGAGAATGGTGTCTGAAATGTATAAGGCTTACAAACAAACAAAAGTCCCAGGCAATGGATTTTGAAAAGAAAGGTGCAGGCAGATAGGGCTGGGACGGGTCCAAATTTTCCAACTGGGTACCCAACCCCCTATTACCGTACCCTTCCCCGGATACCCGTTATGTTAATTTTTTTAACCAATATCTTAACCATGTATCATAGTCAAAACAGGTGACTGTAAATTATGTCTAAATCTTAAAGACAATACAACCTTTTCATCATGAAAGAATAACATATTACATTGTTTAATCTATTAGTCACCTGATCAGAACGGGTCCGGGTATGAGACAGGTACCTGGGTCCTTTTCTCTTCTTTTTTCAACCTTGGAAAGGACCTCTGTACATAAATTATTCCTTGATAAGAACAATTTTCATTACTTTGTCCAGTTTGGTGGTGGTCACCATGGTAACTCATCTGAATGGGAGACCAAGGTTTCATATACATGTAGTTGTAAATCACACAACTAATTTCATATTATCCAGTGCATATATTAAGTGTGAACTATAAATATACAATGTATTCATATCTAACAACCAGTTAACCAGGTATGTGTTCTTAAACAGCAGATGTTCATCCATTTATACAGTCATCTTTGCTGAAAAAATTTAACATCTAGTGAATTATGTTTTATTTTATATATGCTATTGTACGATCCCAATATATAACAATGATCTTAAAAAATGTGATCATGATCCCAAATTCTCATGGAGTACATATATTCCCCTATACTACAAACAGGGTATTCTAGTCTACTGGTACAACACGGAAGGTGTTAATCAAACTGTAAATAGCATGAGAACAAGTTCACTGGCAGACACATATTAGTCCTGTTATTTTCCTCTCTGTGTATTATGGGCTTGTCATCTACTGTTCTTGGTAATATATCACACTTCAATAGAACACAGCGAAGTTTGTTATAAGTGGGAAAATAATGCAAACCAAAAGACATTTTTTTTAAAATAATGAGAAAATAATCTAAATTACCAAACATTATTCAAGTACTAAGAATAATCATTTGGTCCCTTCATCAGAAACCAGGTAAACACACTCAGTCAAACAATGCAAAAGTAAGCAAAATCCAATTTAAATATTTTTATAAAAACATGTAACCTATCAAAAGCAGCAGTAGTCTGTCATACAGACCCTGACACACACAAAATTTCAGTAAAATATGTTCATTTCTGAGACTAGATGTTCGTCTACTGCAGCAGCATCATTATCAGTGACTTGTTTCAGCCTTAAAAGACCCCAGATTAAACGGTCTTGATAAAACAGTATCCTGTACATACCTCTCCCTGTGGAGATGGTGGGGGTGGGGGTGGGGTCATCTCTACTGATGGTCATGTCTGATGAATTTTGTAATTAACCAATAAACAATGAGACTTCTACATTCTGACCAGCAAAATCTCTATCTCCCAACAGACTGCTCTGGTATTTCAGAGTGGCATGACATTTATCTCAAAAGCCAACTAAACTGACATGTTTCAAATGGAATAATTAACACATTTACATTGTTGTGAATATTTCATACACCCACTTGTTTCAGAGCCACGTTCAGTTCCAAATGAAATTTAGAGACTATCAATTCTGCCTAACATTCATCTAATTTTCCAACACAGTACGTTTATCTCCTAATTATGCATGTTTGGAAACAGGAATTCCTGTCATCCCCCTCCTGCCTCAGGGACAGTGCAATATATTCTGGACATCATATCTGCACATACCATTTAGTCATGACTCCCTTCAGGGTGGTATGAGCAAAAAGATACAAATTTGATATTATTCCTTGTATATATATCTTTCCTGTTTGAATACACAATATTTGCTCAAGATTAATGGTATTAATCTTTGCCCTGTAATGTGTGTACAGCGTGTTATGGAGCCAATATCATCTCTCAAATTGTGTGTATGATAAATTATGTTTCATAAAAATAGGCTGTTTGTATATAAGGGCAGTGACCATGACCTGTGAAATGTTATTATAGTCTCTATCATGAGGTGTAGATAACTCTAGTGTGCTCTCTTCTTTTGTAAATATCAAAACAAAATGATGTGAAGAATATTGTTTTTAATTAAAAGTGTTTTGGTTTTTAAAGAAAATTTTAGTAGAGGGTTTTTGTTTTTGCTGGTGAAATTGAATTTGTTTGTTTCCCTTCCTGTTATTTGGAGTAAGACCTCTTTGTATGTATCAATTCATACAATGTTTGCATTTAGTCAGTGGGGCATGGAGAAAAGGCAACAAGTGCAACATTTAAAATATGTGAGCGTGTGTGTATATGTTTGCAATACTGTCTTTTATGTCATATAGAACCTTGCAAAACATCACTGAAGCTATATACATATATATTTGGATGTTGTCCTCTTTGCCATATGGATTTTATGTTAGACTTGAAATGGAATAAAAAAACAAAAAAACCCAAAACATTTAAAATATTTTTCTGTTATTTTCTATTAAAATTATGTTCTATATTTGTGACACAGACACTGTGAACCCCAGGCTCGGTGGATATACTTTGATATAACTGTAACTTTTTATAATTGTGTGTGTCTTTGAGTGGCATTTTCGAAGTTGTTAGGTACAATACTGACATTTTTTCTTGAATATCAACTTCTTGTATATTGTAAGTGCGACATTTCTGCTCTCTGATTGTCTGAACTGATCATGTGTTGTTGCTCTCATTTCCCAATGTGTGTAAAATATTAAGCCATGCCCATCAGAGCACATCCCATTTACAGACGAGGTAATTCCATCAAGTACACAAATGAGCTTCGAGGTCTTTTCCTGAGTAGCATTTACCTCTAACCGATTTTGAATCAGTACCATAAGTTAGCTTCAGAGTTTAACCAAAATGGGAAACATCTAACACTTTGGCCCCCCTACACATATCAAACTTATAATAATTGAAATACTGATACTGTTCAAACGGGCAATTTATATTTTGTTGCTTTTTTTTATGCTGATTTTCATTTTAAAAATTAAAAAAGGCGGCCAAGGCATCAGTACTTAAAAGTACAACAAACACACTGATTATTTATCTGTTGATCAGTATAATATAATGTGAAGCATGTCCACCCATGGAACAAGCCCGACAGGTTACAGAAAGGAGTGAGTGGTGTCTTATGAATGCCTTGTGGGTCTTATTGATGTTGTACATGTTGAAGACAGGCCTCGCGGGATACAGAAGTCATAATAAATATTGTTATTTCTGAAATGTTATGGAATCCTGTCTCATTTCATGTATCAGTTGCTCAGCTGTTGAAACACATGTTCATGTGATCTGTTGGATATTGAATGAAGCATTCATAATATGTTTTAGGGCTACTTCTTTGGGACGAGTTGAGTGCACGTAATCAAAGGAACTGACACGATTTCATTGGATTTGTGTAAATTTCAAACTGTTGTATATGTATGTGTATACTTAAAATATTTAATTACAGTTCTCTGCACCTGAAATTTTGTCAGCTTGGTGCAGTGGTTCGAGGCACTTATTACATATGCTATTTTTACCTTCTTCGCCATGCCTGTGAGTTGGACTCTGTTGTCAACCCTGGTACGACCTAGAATATGTAGAGGGCATCATGGAATATGATCATTGTGAAATTCTTTGGAAACTGCCTGTATTAATCCTCAGGCATATCCAAGCTAACAAGGGGCGGAGGGGTAGCCTAGTGGTTAAAGCCTTCACTTATCATGCAGAAGACCCGGTTCGATTCCCCACAATGTGTGAAGCCCATTTCTGGTGTCCCCCAATGTGATATTGCTGGACTATTGCTAAGAGTGGCGTAAAACTAAACTCACTCAATCACTCCAAGCCAACAAACCAGACCTTTTTTATATAATCTCATGAAAGTATTTTTATCATTGAATTATCTTGTCCCTTTGACACTAGTGTGATTGACAAGACGAAAACATGGCAAACATACAGAACTTGTTTACGAAATGCCACGCTTGCATCCCCCAGTACCAAGTTGTCTGACTCCAGAGGATTGGCACCTCACAGACTTTGGGAGAGTACCCTAGTTTACTTCAGGGAACATAGCCCTTCTGACACTTTGGGTAATCTATGTAAATGTTTTACATACACTGTTATTATCCCCCGCAACGCGTTTTGCGGGGGGGTATTAAAATGGACTCCGTCCGTCCGTCCGTCCGTCCGTGCACATTTGTCTTTTCCGGAGCAGAACTCTAAAACCATTCAATATTTCTTCACCAAACTTGGCACATAGATAGATCTGGTGGTGTTCTTGTGCCTTTTGGTAGTTTTGGAATTCTGAATAAAATATTTTTGCTTCACCAAACTTTTTTTGGCGTTTCCATGGCAACAAGTTTGACTAAAACTGAAATTAGTGGTAGTGCTCTTTTCTTCGGAGCAGAACTCTAAAACCATTCAATATTTCTTCACCAAACTTGGCACATAGATAGATCTGGTGGTGTACTGGTGTTTTTTGCTTGTTTTGGATTTCTGAATAAAATATTTTTCTTAGACTGCAATTGGTGATAGTGCTCCTTT